CCTTCTTGAGCATGTGATCAGCTGGTTTTGGTTGTCAGCAGCAAACTGGTTGATCCACCCTGAGACGGTGCTATTTAAGAGACTGAGCTGAATACAGCTCCTCAGACTGAGGAAGTCTCTCAGATGAGAGACGAAACGTTTCTACATTTTTTGTTGTTTTGCTTTGTTTTGGTTTTTTTTGAATGTCCAGAGGACCAGATTTAACTTTTTTAGACAAATTCAAGTATGTTTTCAGATAAAGAAGACAAAAACAAGGCCAGGAGTCATCAAATTTATCAATGCAGAAGCAGCTTCTGCATTGATACATTTGATGAAGTTTTTTTTAATTTTTATTAAATACAGCATTGCATGGTGGCACGGGCTCAGTTGGTAGAGCTTTTGCATTTTCAGGGAGAGGGTTGCAGGATCAAATCCCGGTCTGGGGGCCTTTCTGGGTGGAGTTTGCATGTTCTCTCTGTGCATGTGTGGATTTTCTCCGGGTACTCCAGTTTCCTCCCACAGACCAAAAACATGCATGTTAGGCTGATTGGTGACTCTAAACTGTCCCTATAGTTGAGAGTGAGAGAGTGAATGTTTTTTCTTTTTGTCTTGTTTGTCCCTATGTGTCCCTGTGATGGACTGGAGACCTCTCCAGGGTGTCCCCCGCCTCTCACACAGTGATTGCTGGATATGGGCCCCCGTGACCCCCACGACATGAAAAGGAAGAAGTGGGTAAAGATGGATGGATGGATGGATGGATGGATGGATGGATGGATGGATGGATGGATGGATGGATGGATGGATGGATGGATGGATGGATGGATGGATGGATGGATGGATGGCATTGCAATTGTTAAGCTCCTCACTGTAATTATTTTACGTCTTGTTGGAAATCACTCTAGCTTCCACCCTAAAAACAGAATAGAAAAGCTCAAATCAAGTGTAAGTTGTGCAAGTTAAAAACAACGTTTGCTGATTTCTTTTGTAATTCTGTACTGCTGAAGCTGTGCCCACCAAGTACTGCTTATCCTGTCAGACCCAGACCCCAAAATATGCATAGCTCATGGAGCTCTTTTGCCCCCTGCTGGTCTGTGTTAAACAACATTTTGAAAAGGTTATACTTTTTAGGGATGTAAAACAATATCACTTGACATGACTTCAGATTTCCAAAACCTTACTTTTAAAACAAACAGGAGGGGCAGTTGTTTCCAGCACCTTTTAAACAAGAAACATGCAGCAACATACAAAACTAAATATACTCTTTATGAGTATTTTTGAGTGTTACAAAGATAGATAAAATACTTTGTATATTACAGTAATTGAAATGGTAACGTCTGTTTGGTTTTGGACCTATTAGTTCACACACAAAGATGTAAAATACAGTGGGCTACTTGTGTTCTTAAGCAAAGCATTCTGAGGCATCCCTCTTTATATTAACGAATTTGGCTTCAGAGCCAAACTTTCTGGAAAAGTTTGCATCATGTCCTCATTGATTTTTTTTTTTTTTTTTAATTCTTTCAAAGTTTTTTTTAGTCTTCTCCTGTTCATTTTCAGAGTGAGATTTTATACTCAGCAGACCTCTTTAACACTGACCCAAAAATCATTAAAGCACAAATAACTTGTGTATACACAAACATCTTGTTTTAGTAAGAGCTTGATGGAAAAAATTAATTTAATTCCATTAAGCAGAACCTTCAAAACATTGCTAATAACATGTCCTAACGCATGCTCAATAATCCAGGTAGACAAATCTAACGAGGTTAAGTCAAGTCCTCTGGACGGATACTTATTTGTTGAAACATCTAAAGGACTTCTTCAGTCTGAGGCACTGCAACAACGTTCTCACAGTGGATCAACCAGCTTGCTGCTGACAGTCAAAACTAGCTATTCACATGTAAAAAGAGGACCATTGATCTAACAATCGATCGTTAGAGCCCTGATGGCCACTTGTTATTCACAGAGGTCAAAAGAGACCATTGTTGAGAGTAATGAAACAATGGTCACCACTAGCAGGACCACACTTTCCACAAAGTAATTGGGCCAACTCTTAAAACTGTGCCAGCAGTCAAGCAGTCAACCTACTTCACATATGGGGGTAATATTATAGGCAGAAACATGGGTGTGCTATAGGGTCCCCAGTTTCTCCTATTGTTGCCAACCTGCACATGGAGGAGGTAGGAAAGAGAGCCTTGGTGTCCTTTTCAGGGACACCACCAAGTCATTGGTTCAGGTATGATGACGACACCTGGGTTGAAATTAAATCTCAGGAAGTCCAACATTTCACTGATCACACCAACTTTGTGCATAAATATATAAACTTCACAAGAGAAGATATAAAAGATGGCAGGTTGGCTTTCTTGGACTATGCTGGTGAAGATTCTCAGTCATCCGGGACATAATAAATTAAAAAAACGTTCAATACAAAAAACAACTGGACTTTATTTGTAACAGAAGACGTTTCGCTCCTCATCCGAGGAGCTTTCTCAATTCAAAGAGCAGAGAGTGAGGGGTTCAGGTTATAAGGCTGAGTGAGATAAGACACACACACATATGTAGATTGGCAATTCACACCTAAACACCTTAACGGCAGGGGTTTCTTAAGGTCTTTGTTACTCTAATTCACAGAAGCAACCCCTCTGTTCCCATCAGGTGTGAAAACTGGCTGGGAATCTGTCTTAAAGTTGAATTATAGGGTTTTGAAAGTGGAAATCTGAGGCCTCCTCTGTAAAAAGATGTTTTTTATCTTTTTACATAAATTGCTTCCTTCACCCCCCTCTCAAATCATAGTTGTCCTGGGTCCAAAATGTGCACATTTTGGTCCTCAAAAGAGTGTTCCTTATCTTTATGTCCCTTAGCTTTCTTGGACTGTGAGGTCTCAGTCTCTGATAGAGGACATTTGCAAATGGATGTGTACCACAAACCCACCCACACAGACCAGTATTTGTGGTATGACTCCCATCACTCACTGGTGCACACATTAGGAGTCATCAGGACTCTGTACCACAGAGCAGACAGCACCCACTCCCCACTATAACTCAGGAACCAGGCAGAAGGAAAAATCCCACACAAGACAAGGCCCAAGAGCAATGTGGATATCGGACATTCTTGAAAGCAGAGAAGAAACCCAAACAGGACTCCAACCAGCCGTCGGATGAACAGGAGAAAAACAGACCAGTGGTCATTCCGTATGTTGCGGGAGTTTCAGAGAAACTTTGACATTTATTTTCTAAACATGATGCCCCAGTGGCTTTAAAACTTAAAAAAAAAAAAAAAACATCATGGCAAAGACTGGTTCATCTCAAATATCCACTCTCCTGGCACAAACAGAGTAATATTGTATATGCTGTTCAGTGCCAGGAGGGCTGTGATCAGTTATACATTGGTGAAACTAAACAGCCACTGGCCAAAAGGATGACCCAGCACAGAAGAGCAACATCGTAGGACTCTACGGCCTATCTGCAGGCCAGCAGTCACTCTTTCAGGGATGAAGATGTTCACATCCTATAGAGAGGAACACTGGTTTGAGAGAGGAGTAAAGGAAGCCATCTTTGTGGAGAACCTGTCCATCATTAAAAATGGGCAGATGTTTTTTTTTATGTCGAGAGAAGTTTCACCCTCCATCCAAAGGGCTTCATCAGTCTGAGGAGTCACAAACATCTCTCTCTCAAAAAAAAAAGAAACTGTCCAGATGACCTGACTGAACATTGCTGGATTTTTTTTACCTGGATGATTGAGCATGAACTTTGATATCTTGAACCACTCTGGCTGTGGCTGCCTGCCTGGGAGGAGTTGATGGGGGAGAGGACGCCCCCCAGAAAGCATCTTATCACCAGCAAACTGGCTGGTCCACGGTAGGAGTGTACTGCTTAGTGGAGAAAACAGTTTGTTTGTGACTCCTCAGACTGAGGAAGCCCTTCGGATGGAGGGTGAAACGTCTCTCAGCAACAACAACAACAAAAAGAAACTGTCCTGATGACCTGACTGAACATTGGATTTTTTTTACCTGGATTATACCTTAATCTCTTGCAATGCTGTTATTGCAACTATCACTCAGCCCTCTGTGAATAACAAGCAGCCATTAATGACCAATTGTTAGGCTGATGGTCCTCCTTTTACATGTGAATAGCTAATTCTGGCTAGCAGCAAACTGATTGATCCACTGTGAGAAGGTAATCTGGCCAGATGACCTGATTTAACTTTTTAGTGATTTATTTACCTGGATGATTGAGGAAGCATCAGGAAAAGACAGAGTTTGTTGCAACGCCTCAGAATGAAGAAGTCTTTTGGATGAAGATGAAACATTTCAACAAAGAATCTGTCCAGAGGACCTGACTTAACCTTGTTAGATTTCTTTTGCAAGCATTGAAAACTACAAAACAATTTTTTAAGGGGTTGAAAGCATTTTGTTGTTGTTTAAGTTTTCTGGAATAAGACAGGGCCTGCAATGCCTGGTTTCCCCATGTATCCCAGTGTTTCTATTAATGTGAGTAGACTTTTTTAAGTGCCCAGAATATTAGATAACCCATTTCACTTTGGTTTGAAAATGAAGTTTAACAATGTATTCTCTTGGTTATTTTAATTTGTTAAGCTACGAAGAGATTTGATTCAACTGAAAAGGCTACAACTGTATTTAGGGTTTCACGTGACAAAATTAAATAAATAAATACATCAGAGCAGCTGTTAGGTTTGAAAAATTACAACAAAAAAATGTAATTTCGGCACTTTTGCAAATGTTGAAATCAGATGGTGCGTTCAATGACCGTTCTTCTTGGAATGCTCCAGCAAGTATTACCACTGTCGTCGACGTAATATCGGACGTGTTTGGAGCAGAAGATTTGAATAGTCTTTGTTTTAATCTCTTGTTAAGTTTTCATTCGTGTGTTTAGTTTTTATGAATTATTACAGTAAGTCTGACCGGCCCAGCGGAGGGTTTGAGCGATGTCACGACTACAATCGTCACCTGGACATCTGATTGGCTCAGAGCTCACATCCGGGTACTGCGCCAGACCGAGCTCATTAGCTAAAGGTACCAATATGGCGGAGGTAAGAGGGAAAACAGGGAAGAAGCAATCGATCTTTAATCGATATTTTTTCGATTTGTGCGTTTTATTTAGTATTTTCATTGTATCGATTGAAAAGATTAAGGGTTTTTCCTTGAGTCAAGCGTGTTTGGCGTCATAACAGTCAGCTTTATTTCTCTAAAATATGCTTTAATGTCCGGACTGATCCTTCACCGGGAGGCCTCTCTGCGCTCTCAGCTGCTTCGCCGTAGCGGCTCTGTAAATTGATACGTAAATTTAACGTTAGCTTGCTGCTTAAGGGAAATAACTGAACATTATGTATTTGTGATTCATGGAAATTTATTTTCATCATTAAGTCTGAATTAGCGGCATGTATACAATGGGAACATCTTGCTCCGTTGATTAAAACGCGATTCGAACGACATTAATGTTTACATTTTGTCGATGGACAGCGTTAACATTTAGGCTGTAGGTTAGCTCGCCGGCTAACAAACTGTCTCAGGAGGCAACACTGCCCAAATTTACTGTTCCTCTCTACACTGATCTAATTTAGCTTGAAAAGAAATGGGAGAAAATCCCAGTTCCTCATCTCCAGTCTAAAATTGGTTAGCAACTTTTCTTATTTCGGACCGCAGCTAACGCATAACAACGATGTAACACCACATTTTATGACTCGATAAGGTTGTAATGACATTGTTTATTATGTATTTTGATCATTGAAGACAAATGTGCTTGTATAATTGCTTAAACGCAAGAAGAAACATTCTTATACAGAAAACCTATATCCATGTTTTGAGGATTTTGTGACATGTCAAACATTTGATCAAATATTGTTATTTAAAGGCAATAAGGACAATCACTTTTCACATTTATTTTATTTAGTTACAACTACATCAAAATTTGACAGTGCTTTAGTATCTGTAAATTGGATTAATGTTGTACATTATGTTATACTTAACCGGTATGTTTGTTGAACTTATGATTAAAATATTTTAAAGACTACGATGAGAAAGTATTTGCAATACAGTTGAAATCCTTACAGTATTTAGCTCATTTATAGGTAGCAGGATTTTAGAAAACAAAGATTTTACATTTATTTTTTCTTTATACTCTTCTGTTCTAATTGTCCATTGGATTTATTTCACCGTTGGTTAAAACCACATTTTAAGAATAACTTTTTTATTGTTTTCCAGGCTTCTCTAGGAAGTTCAAGTCCAGGTAAGAAAAAATAATGAGCATGTTTTTCTACCATTTAAGCTTTTAAAATGCAAGATGTTGGTTTTTGGAGAAATTAATTTGCTTAACAAAAAGGAAATGTGTTAGTTTTACTTTATTAAATAAAATATATTGTTCTTTCATTGAAAGATGGTTTATGAAAAAATACTGAATTTTGTGTGTCCCTTGTCAGTATAAACAAACATTGACATGTTAGGGGCCGAGATGGGACCAGAAAGTCAGAGGTTCAATTCCCCTTGAGCAAGACACCCAATCCCTAATTGCTCCCCGGGCGCTCACATAGCCGCCCACTGCTCCACTGGGTGTGTCTCACGTGTGATGGGCTAAATGCAGAGAAATAATTTTATCATTGAGAACATGCAATGATGACAACATGTAGCACTTTTTTATATGTAATGTCATATCACTAAGATTTATTTATTTATTTTTTTCCTCAGTTGGCTCGTTATCGTCAGAGGACCATGATTTTGACCCGACCGCAGAAATGTTAGTCCACGAGTATGATGATGAACAGACACTGGAAGAAGAGGAGTCTTTAGAGGGCGGGACGAATTTTAACTCTGAACTTGCAGATCTGGAGAAGGTAAACTAATACAACTCTTAATAAAACTTGTGTTTACCCGTGTAGGTGAACAGGTAGCAAAGTACAATGTTATTTATATACTTACATTACATTTGTCTCTCTTGCAAATAATAATAAAATGTTTGTGAAGTTATATTAGTTTTTGATTAGTCAAAACACTCATTTAAACATAAATTTAAAATAAATCTGTAAATCTTTTTCTAATTTAGACATGTAGGAGTCATTTAGATAGCAGTAAAAATGGACATTATATTTTTTTCTTTCCCATCAGGAAGGGAACATGCCTTTGGAAGAACTTTTGGCTATTTATCGCTATGAAGCTTCAGCAGGCTCCAGTATAGACAGTTCCTCTGGAGACCTGACTGATGAGTTGCCTGACATGACATTGGATAAGGTAACTATTTGCCGTTGTGTGAATGTTACTAAATAGATGTGTAAAAAATGATTAATTAAAAAAATCATATGTAATATGATTGTGGAGCACGTTGACCACATTTGGTCATCCAGTGCAGAATCAAGTAGTAATGCTTGTTATTTATTTATTTATTTTCTTTTCTTAGGAGGAAATAGCTAAAGACCTGTTGTCTGGGGATTATGAGGAGGAGACCCAGTCTTCAGCTGATGATCTTACCCCATCAGTTACCTCCCATGAAACCACAGATTTCTTTCCACGAACACTTCGATGTAAGTGAAAGGGTTCAAACTAAAACTACTCCAAACTTTATAGGGTGGAAACTAGTTGTTTTGTATATTGCAAAATGGACTTATGAAGAAAAAACAAACGTAGCCATGGTTGAGCTGTGACTATTTTTCTTTCTTGCTTTTTTATTTTTTATTTACCCATCAGTGAAACGCAAAATCTTGAACACACTTGTGTCTTCACACAAGTTGGAATGTGAAACAAATTAGCCAAATAACATATTGCCATTTTAGAAAGTGTTAAAAAAAAATATTGGGGAAAACAATGTTTTCCCGAATATGACATCATTTGGCAACAGTTACAGCTACAGATTTTTTCTTAAGTGTTTTTAACATTCATGAGATAAGGTGCTGTATGGAACCCTTAAATCATCCCAAGTCATTGAAACACCAAACTTAGTTTTTTTTTTTTTATTACTTTTTAATTTTTACTTCCCCATAATGTCCTTTTCGAAATAATTTTTCTGTAGATCATCCCAGTTTTTATGTTTTCATTGCCTTCTCTTTCATCCACTTTCAGTCAAGGCCTTTTGTTTGACAAACGTTTATTTGTAACGTATTGTAGAACATGTGGCAAGAAACTGTTAGCAAAATTTTGTTACAATTTGAAAAATATCAAAATGGCAAAGTTTGATATAAAGTTTTTTTTTTTTACTTCACCAAGGGGAAGAGTGCGGGGGCTTAGATGGGGTAGAGGCAGGGCAGCCGACTCGGGACCCAAAAGTCCCAGGTTCAATTCCCAGTCATTGCACACCTCGTGGTGTCTCTGAGCAGCACACCCTATCCCCAATTGCTCTCCAGGCACCTTCGATAGCTGCCTACTGCTCCACCTGGGGGTGGATGGGTTAAATGCATAGAGCCAATTTTGCCATACATACAATGATGACAACACATAACACATTATTATTATTATTAGATACTAGTACAACGTGTCTGTATTCTGTACTTTGTATCCTTACAAATGAGAAAACTATTGGATAAATAGTGAGTGGGAGTGGTGGCGCAGAGGTTAGAGAGGGTGGGCCTGTGATCAGAGGGTTGCCAATCGAAATGCCCACACCTGCCTCCACGCTCATTTGCCCCACTCTGGGCCCATGAGCAAGACCTTTAACCCCCTTAGCTACTCCTCGGGCACCCCTCTGCTTCACATATGTGCTCCCATGTGCAGTGGGAAAAATGCAGAGAATTAAGGTCCAGGATAAAAAAAAACCCCATCATCACTCGGAGTGAGGAAATAACTTCTCTTGTCATGTGGAAAACTTGATGGACTGAAGTAACATTTTATCCAGAAATGTTTGGGGTCTTGTAGTAAAGGAATTATAAACACAGACATGTAACAGACAGAGTTTGATGAACTGTTACTATTTATTTTCTGTTTGCAACAGCTGTGTTTTTCAGTAACACGTTAAAAACTTAACAGGATAGAAAAACCCCATGAAACGCTTTACACTCATTTGTTTTGTGTGTAGATAAGCTGCTGCACTTTTTCCCTGATTTTCCTAGAAAAATACAAAGTAGAGTAAATGCTTAAAACCTTTGCATAGTACCTTTTAACAAATTGTGTAGTATTTTAAAGGTCCCTAACTTTGTAGCACTAATTGCAAGCATTTATTAGAATGTGTCACTAAGGTCCAATTAAAAAGGGATTTGAAACAACATATTTAAACAGGTTTTAATTAAGAGTCCTTGTCTAATAATAAAAATACACATCAAGGTGTATGAGAGTTTAATTGTCCACCAAAATTACAATGATATGCATTAAAGGAAACATGTTTCTAATCTTTGTTGCTGAAAAAGTGTTTAATAGTCTTTAAAGGTTGATTATCAGACACTCTTGCAAACTAATCTGTCAGATGACAAACTGATTTTTGCCACATTTGACTGATTTTGTCTACAAAACTTGTTTTGTTACTGTTGATTAGACATTTTCTCAAAAATCTAGAAGAAGCAACACTACCTCTACTGATACTAAAACTAACAGTTTATTGGGCTAAACATCAGGCATTTGCATTTAGGTGAATATGAAGGTTCTTAAATTGTCTGTTTTTTCAGCCAATACTGTCTCTGATGGTGACAAAGAGTCAGAGTGTGACGAACTTGGCCCAAGTCCAGAAGACTCCAGAAAGGTATATCTATATTTTATTATAAAATACTTAAAGAGGGATACATATTACTTGATGTTTCACATGAAACATTATTCTGTTTTTTCTTTAAACACATAATTGTTTTTGTGTTACAGGAAATAATGGTGGGAACAGAGTACCAAGCAGAAGTTCCGTCTTCTCTCTGTCACTACAAAGAAGGAGAGCAAGGTAACTGCTGCTTTTTTGGTTTTCATTGTACATGTAGAACAGATTCTTTACTATAGCTGTCTACAGTGTTTGCCATCTATTCAGTGAATCTAAGAAAATATGGGAACGTTGTTTAATCTCCACTCGTGTACTGTTTTAGTGTATGAAGATGAAGATGAGTTACTATGGAGCCCAGACAGACTGTCAGAAAATAAAGTTAGGAGCTTCCTCTCTGACGTATTGGTGCGGACAACAAATGAAAGAACAGGATATGACAAACCAGGGACACATGTTCGAGACGATGAGCAGGTACGTTTTGTCTAAATTCATCCATCTTTTGCTGATTTCATAAATTGATAATAAGTAGGTGGTTTGTAAATCTGTAAGGTTCTTTCTTTTTTGGCAGTAACCATAATTGCCGGGCTACAGAACGCACTTAAGCCGCGTGTACTAAATTTAAGATGGATCGTAATTTTGTACATAAATAAGACACTCCGGTTATTAAGCCGCGAGTATCCAGCATTCATTATCACAATCTGTGCCCAGCTCCTGGCATCATGTGCAGCACTTGTTGTAGTACAAGACTCAACCACCGGATGGCGTTTCATAGAGTATGGCTTGTGTGATTGTCGTAAGTCTTCATGATGCTTCACTGTCTTGACTCATGGTTAAAACCATTTAACCTATAGAAAGAACTATCTAAGCATAATCACTGCACAGGACAGTGCCAAACACATGCGTAACCACAATTATTTAAAAATTATATACCGGTCAGTTTTACCCTCAATTCTTATCGGGGTCATGTGACTGGGAGTCACAAAGTACTGGTAAAATACAGTAAATATTCATTGAATTAGTACCATTGATTTTTATTGTTAAAGACTTTTGGGAACAGCTGCAGTTTTTCAAAGTCAAAGTTTCTTTATTTGTTGCACCATGTGGTGAAACAAAATTGTGTACACAGGGTCCCAGTTACATCCAAAAGTATAAAAGAAAAACAGTAATAAGATCTAAGATATGAACTAAAAAAAACGTTAAACTAAAAATATGCTGATGTACTTTCTGAATAAATTTGACATGACTTCTGCTCAGCGGAGCCCGGAGGAGGAGGAAGGCGGAAGGGAGAAGAGCCCCCCCCCCCCCCCACCCCCCTTGTTTGTTGACTCCGCTCCGTGCTGGGATGTGAGCTTAAATGAGATCCCGGTATTTAAACGCATGTTTACTGTACACAGAAAGATGTCACGAATGCTGGGCAGCTATGTGAGCCCCCAGCTCTGTCAAAGGAAAACGTTATTCAGCAGCAGGAAGCTGCCAAGAGATGACAGGAAGCCCGTCAAAATAAAATATAAATTAATAAAATTATTTTAAAAAAACTGCAAAAACTTAAATTAACCGCTCCTGCATATAAACCGCGGGGTCCAGAGTGTGAGAAAAAAAGTAGTGGCTTGTACACCGACAATTATGGTACTGCATCTTAAATGAATTTGTTTATAAACTGTTTTATCATGTGCCTTTAAGTTAAACTTTTAATGTGCCCTTATGACTCTGACTCTATCTTTTGTTCCCATTAAGGCTTTGTATGAGCTTGTAAGAAGCAACTACAACACGCGTGAAGCACTAGAAAGATACTGCAGTCATGTAAAGTCCTCAAAAGGTAAGAAAACAGATTTAACATTTGGCTAAGAAACAAATGTGACTAAAACATTTACGCTAATAACAGGCACTACTTTTGGCCTTTTAAGAGTCCTCATTATGCAAATTGATTAAATGTCCCGAGTAGCAAAGCTTTGAATTTATTTAACATGTCAAACTTTGTGTAGAAGGGCACAAAAGAAAGAAAAGGCCAAACACAAGTCTCCAGATTATGAGTAGAAACAAATAAGCAATGTTAACGGTACCAGATGAGTTTAAAGTACTTATTGTGCAGATTCCTCTTTGCTTTGTATATTGTTGTGTAAATCTGTGCATGTTCATATTTTAAGACTGGATTTCACTCCAAACAAAGCTTAACGCTACTGCTAATATTTTCTTCACTCTGATGCAAAAATATTGTCGTCACATTAAACTTAAAAAAATGATAGACTCAGATCTGTTGAGTAAAATAAACCTGATCATGACTGAAATTATCAACATTATCCACTTAATGTGGCATCAAATAAGCATTAAATGCTAACTGTTTTCTATCAAACCTTTCTGAACCTTCAAGTTTTTAAATGTTTGCCATTTTTTGATTTGTCGTTCATGCAGAAAATGCTAATTTTCAATGTTTGCATTTTGTAAAATGTATTTATTTCAGTAAAAATGACCAAATTCAGTTGAATGGATTTTCAAGTTGAGGCTAAATCTAGATTTACAGATTACTTGTTCACCACTGCTGTGAAAACAAAAATGCTTTTTTTAATTTTAGAAAAATCCCCTCCGTGGTCAGAAGAGGAATGCAAGAATTTTGAACATGCTCTGCAGATGTATGACAAGAACTTTCACCTCATCCAGAAACACAAAGTAAGTCTTTATGATTCGTTTTAAATATTTACAAGCTTAAAAGTATGTGTAAATACGTGAAAAGATCCTGTTTGATTATTGTTTTTGTCCTGTCAGGTCACAACACGAACAGTAGCCGAATGCGTAGCGTTTTATTACATGTGGAAGAAGTCTGAGCGCTTTGACGTCTTCGTGCAGCAGAATCGGTTCGGGAAGAAAAAGTACAGCAGCTATCCTGGTGTGACGTAAGTAACGAGAGGTTTTTGGCACAGAACTGTACAGCAGTTTGTGTTTGAATATAAAACAAAATAAAAATATATGTTTTACTGCAGAGACCTGATGGACAGGCTGGTGGATGAAGCAGAAGGACTGGCGGTGGACAGCAGCTCCTCCTCTGTGTGTTCAGGAGCAGGTGGAGGAGGGAGGATGGAGAGCACCACAGAACAGCAGCTCAGCTTGCTGAACTCCATCACTGCCAGCGACCTCACAGGTTAGGATGAGACTTGGTTGGTTGCCTAATAACTATGAATAATGAATGTTCTTCGCATTAGTCAATTGTTTGTTTTTATTGTTCCAGCTTTGAGCAACACTGTAGCTACAGTGTGCACCCCCGCAGAGGTGAGTTGCTTGGACTCCTACAGCTTTCCTCCACTGGAAAGTCTCCACCGTGGATCCCTGGACCACGACGAGTCCCTCGGGTTCCCTTCCAACGGTGCAGACGCCGACTGCCTCAACATGCTGGACACCGGCTTCTACCACTCGGACCTGGGGCAGCTCGGAGGAGTGTGCGTCAACAAGGACTGCGAGCGTCCCTCCAAGAGACTCAAAATGACGCTGCCCGACTCCTTCATCAACGACGTTACTGTCGCGAACCTCGGAGTGGACTTCGAAACGCGTCGAACGACGACGCACCACCATCGAATCACCGGCGCCAAAATGGCCGTGTCCGTCACAGACTTTGGGAGCTTATCCGGTAGCGGTGAGCCCAACGGGTTTCTCGGAGCACATGCACGGCACCACACGCAGCATACTGCAGCACTTCAGTCCGAGTGATCTTCCTCTTCTTCCTCCAATCTTCCCTTTTAGAACCTTTTTTTTCCTGCTTGTACATAAGACTGATCTCACTGGAAAATCTGATTTGTTTAAATTTTATTATATATATATATATATATACATATATATATATGTATATGAAAATACTTTGTTTTCATTTTTTGTGTAATATGACATCAGTGATGTCTATCATATAGAACTAAAATCTTGATTTCTCTCAAGAGTTTATATAGCCATTTATTTTATTTGTTGTTGGTGTTTTGAGATGTGTAACGTCCGTGTACAGAGGGGCCCAGAAGCTGCAGTAGGAGAGTTGAGAATCTTCCTCCCTTACACACATCCTCCGAGCTATAATCTGTTATCCTGCCATTGTTTTCAGCTGCCAAACGAGTTTTCTGCCTTCTAGTGTTAACAATTAGTAGCCTATGTTTATTGTTTGATGTGGTACTTTTTTTTTTTCTATTTAAGGTTTACAGGTACTTTCAGTTACCAGATTGGTGCCGATCCCTAAAATACCTGGGTACATATTAATGTACGAGCATCATTCGCCTAGAGATGAGTTTCGAAGGTCAGAAATTGCTTTAGCTTCTGTTTGCTTTTTATTTTGAAAGTCTTTTTGTAAAAAGCTTGCTTCTAATTTGCCTATTTGAGGGGATTATTTTTTTTTTTGGCTAAACTGGAAGATGTGAATTTTTTGAAGTATTTTTTTCTTCTTTGTCCCGTATCGTCAATCAAATTCCTGACCTTGATGTATTGTTTTACAATTCTGCTTCTGAACAAGCGATGAAGAATCCATCTGCAGACTGACATAACAGGAGTTTCACTTTATATTCTTCACCTTGTCTTGCAATCTTCCAAGGAGCAAACTGTAACAGCAACATATCAATGCAAAGGTTTTGGTTGGATTAATAGCCATTTAAACACTGACAGTTTAGATTGAGTTTAATTGTATTTATTGAATTTATTTGACCTTTAAGACCGAATTTAATCACTTTGAGTTTATTCTCTCATGCTGCTCTAAGGCAAGTATAGCTCTGTTTGTCCTAGTTGTTGCTTAAAAATGTAGTAGCTCTCTTTTTCTTTTGTCCACTAGTAAGTTTTCATAAACTTCCCAGTCGTATTATATTTATTTAACACCTCTGATTTTGTATTTAACCCCTGCTTAGCCTGTACTGACGAGAGATGCCTTTTTGAAAACTGGTCGACAATTTCTCGAGGAACCGGTAGCAGAAATGAAGCGAGTTTTTCTGCTTGACTGAAAACATGTTGAGCGAGTCAGCGTCAGTTTATTGGATGCAGTACTAGTGTTTACTTAAATTATCTATGCATTGTGCTTTGAGTATTTAGTTTGTTTCAGGGGTACGTCACGTTTGTCGTGTCCGTAGATGTAGTACTTTACCACCATGTGTATTTGTAAAGACAGAAGCATCGTTAAGTTGATCATGTAAGAGTTTACTAGCCCAGCAACCCAGAGCATATTATTCACTTCTGCATTTCATGTAAATAACGAGCAAATAGCCTTTAAAAAGTCTATTAACTGACCTCTTACACTTGTGAATTGGTGTCGATACAAAGGTTTCAATTCAGTTCTTTGGCAGAAAGGCAATAATTTGTAGATATGTACAGATATTTTGAGAAATTTTTTTTTTTTGTTTGTTTGCATTTTACCATTTTGGCTTGGTGTTTAAATTTTCATTTTCTCTTTGGGCAGTCATGGTCCCCAAACACTAGGGCGCAGCTGAAATCACGCATGCCAGCGGTGTCCCGTCCCAAGTGTACCACTGAAAAACGTCTTTACCTGAACACGTATTGATATTAATGGGATTGTGAGACTTGCAGCCGCTTGCAGAAGACCCATCTTTCCTTGGAAACAAATCTTTTTACGTGTTGTCTGTATTTGTCTTGATGGTAAAGGGAAGGCTGCTGCTCTGATTATGTGGAGAGCTAGTTTCTCTGAATGCAATGTGCGTAATGCAGTAGGTTCTCCAAGCTCTTCTAGCTTTAGCAGTGCAGTGATATTTATTTCACCTGTGGTTTGTACAAAGACTAAGAAAACTGTCAGAATGTAAAGGCCATTAAGTAGTAAAGTAGGTTCTCACCACCCTGTGAATTCCAATGTGATATTTTATTGATATGAGACTTGTGTGTGTGCAAGAAAGCACGAAACAAATTTCTTTATTTTGTATTGTGTTTAGAAGTTTAAAAAATATAGCAGTTGTGGTTTTGAGACGAAAACTCCAATCCTTTGAAAACAAAACAAAAAAAACAACTTTGTGCATAAAAACCTACAAAAACGTAAAAATGTATATCCAGAAATATAGACAATCAAAATCTTCACTATGGGAAATGTTCAAGAAGCTATCTTTATTGTTTATAAGAAATGTACATAAACATTGCTTTTTTTTTTTTTCTTTTGTTAAACATTATTTTGTATTTTCTGTTGTACTTTAATACCTTGTGTACAGATCCAGAAATAAAGCTCTGGAAAAAGTTCTCAGATGATGGCATGCTTTTTAAAATTTATTTAAAGATGTGAAAACAAAGCAACACAGTGGATGTTGTAAAAATTGAGTGATATATTGTAATGTGCTACAAACTATCAGCAGCTCTTTTAAATAATTTCTAAAAATTTAATTGATTACATTTTTCAGATTTAATATTAATAATAATAAAGTGTTCATTGTATGTTTCCATACAATGGCGAAATTGTCTCTGCATTTAACTCATCCACCACCAGGTGGCGCAGTGGGCAGCTATTGAAGGCGTTCAAGAAGCATTTTGGGGACAATGTGTGCTGCTCAGAGACAACGAGATGTGCAAAGACTGGGGATCAAACCTTTGGGGTCCCAAGTCGGCTGCCCTGCCTCCACCATCTCAGCCTCATTTCTGTCAGACATTTACATCACAGTTGTGACAATATCATTGTCATGGAAATGATCTCCGCTAAAACTGAGCAAATTTATGCTGTTGATGTCAAACACTTTATCTTAAACAACAGAAAGATATTGAGATAATGTTTAAGGAATTGGTAAGAAAAACTTATAATGAAGGGAAGTTATGGCAAAAAAAAAATAAAAAATCCCAATGACAAACCATCAAACCCATTAAAATGATCCTAGCTTGTTATGACTTGTCTTCTGGGAGGAATAGGTATAGTCATAAAGTCTTCAGCCAGAATCACCTCCACGCTGCTGTCCTGAAGCTCTTCTTCAGCCTGCCTCTTCAGCTCCGACACGTCCTCGTCTCCCTCCTTCTGTAAGGAGCTGGGTTTGTACCGCTGGCTGAAGTGGGACAAGACCAGCCTCCGTGCACAGCAAGCCCGAGCCACAGCTGCTGCCATCTTAGGTGTGCTGTGTCCATGCTCTATCGCCCTCTCCCGGTGCTCGCTCCCAAGGGTGGCCTCATGAACCAGGATGTCCGCTCCGCTGCACATCAGCATAGGTTCTTTCCCAACAACTGAGCTGCAGTCTCCTAAAATACACACCTTCCTCCCTGGCACGGCCTCTTCCAGCACATCACTGGGAAGTACCGAGAATCCATTTTCAAGGATTATAGGTTCGCCGGCTTTGAGGCGCCCATAGAGAGGTCCAGGTTTCACGCCTGAGGTGCACAAAACAAGACTAGTCACTGGGTTTTGTATCTACAGGATGACTTTTCTTAAAGGACGCCCATAGCAAGGCCTTTCCTTGCAGAATAAATCATCTCTTAATCCTTCACAACATAAATTTGACTAAATAAAATAATCTATACATATATGTTTAAATTTGTACATTTTAAACATTTATTTGTTTTATGGCAACAAACTGACTTGCTTTAGGAATTATTAAAACACTCAAATCAACTCATAATTTTATATATATTTTTTTTTAATTACCCATTTCCTTCAGTACTTCTATTTTCAGTCTTCCAGGCCGATCATGCTCTTGGACGCAAAAACCAAAGGAAGGGATGCGGTGAAATAATCTGAAGGCCTTGACAACAAACTTCTTGTCTTCAAAAAGCAGATAACAGTCATTGGAGACATCAAAGGGGATCGTCCTGCCTGGCTGCTCCTGAGGATGGAGGTGACCACTCTCTGCTGTCAGCTGGTGGGATACATGTTGAAAAAAATCAAAACACAAGATACACAAGAAAAAAAAAAACAAGTCTGCTGGAAAATGGTTGATTTTAGGCTACATGAATAAAGAACAGTAGATGCAGAAAAGACAAATTGGTTATAGGTCCTAAAAATCTCATGAATTTACTCTTATAAAGCTGATGAATGAACGTCACTATTTAAACTGCACAAATGTCCAAACGGTGCATGATTCGATGGTGTAATGTGACACTGAGTGCGTTTTCATCAGGTTTATTTTGATTCTGTTCGTTATGTTCCTGAAAAAGCTTGTGCAGCTTAACTGAGCATCAGCTCACAACAAAAATCATCTTGGGTATAAAAAAGCATCAAGGTCTAGGTTTTGTCATTCACATCTCATGTGGTACATGTGGTGGAATGAAATTGTGTACACAGGGTCCCAGTTACATCCAACAAAAGTATAAAATGTAAAAGTAGTAAGATCTAAGATATTAACTAAGAATACGCTAAGCACTAGTAGTACAAAAACAATATGCTGAACAGCAGAAGCACGAATCAAGGCCAAGTTATTTCAAACTGCATGCAAACCAGTTAAGTTCACACAATTAAATGCAATTTAATTCACTATAGTTATAACACAAATCTGATTCAGGCTGTTTCTGTGAGTAGCAAGTTGGCCATCTGGCCTAAAACATTTGATTGTTATTCATGATGATTGATTGCTTTGGACGGACGGTCCCCTTTTTGCCCTACAGATGATCTCCATGTAAAGCCAGTTTCTAGGAATTCCACAGAGGGCTGGCTTGAAACACATCAAGGAGGTGCCATTTAGAAGACAGATCTGGGTTGGCAGGCCTCAGACTGATGCAGTCTTTTAGATGAAAGACGAAACGTTTCTCCCAGAAAGAAACTGTTGTCGATGACATGATTTAACCCTTTTCCCGATTCAGTATTACAAAATGCCAGTTAGATAAAAGAAAAAAAGCCGATTGGAAAAGCTCTACTTCATTGACATGAACCCTGATTATGCACGGGGTGGTGGAGAGGAACTGCTCCCTTTATCAGGCTGAGGTTCGACGGCCATCTGCTTCCAAGTGATGGTGGTAGGTCAATCAGGGAGAAAGCACAGAGTTCTACTGAGGAAGTCTTCCTTTTCTCTTTTTTTACATCACAAAAAAGAGGTGAAGTCAAAATCTCATATGTTTATAAAATGCTATACTATAATGTTTTTATTTAACAGTTATTACAGCGGTACAGCAGAACAAACCAGATACCTCCAGGCTCAGCTGTCCTTCCTCTGGACTCTGGTCTGATGTTGGCTCCAGTTCATGAACTACAGCAACATACAAATAAAAAAACTTTATTAATTACAATACAATTTTATAAATACTTTTTACAAAAAAGAGCAAAAAGGACATTTCAGAGCACAAAGCCTAAAAGAGTCACATAACACAAAAAGAAGGGGGATTTAGTGGTAATATCTGGGTAAACTACAGCAAATAAAAATGGATATGATTAGACACTGCAAATTTTACAGCACACAAAAAAAAGGTGGAATATTTAAAGTTGTGCACCAATACTTGTGCTAAAAACAAACTGAAATACAATCCAGCCTCAGGCAGAGTTTGTAAATTACCCTGTGGATGATGATCAGAAGCAAAGTTCATGTGTTTAAACAAAAACTTTATATAACAAATCTGTTCTTTTTAAAGTCTATATTTAAAGAACATGAGAAGTTTTCTTCGGTGAACAGTTTAATAAGAGTTATGATGTCAGAATATTCACCACTGTCTGCAGAGCATCCTGTCAAGTATGTTTGAGCTTTCAGTAGATGCTACTGAACCTGCCTGCATATGGGAAGAGAAGCTGCGATCCCGAGAGGCCAAGTGTCACCCTGAGGAACTTCCTGAGGCCCCGGGGCCCATAGATGTCCACACAGTTCAGGTTCTGCTGGGGGTCTGGGTTGGTGTTGAGACTCACAGTGCAAAGGAGGCCAGGCAAACCAAACAGGTGATCTCCATGTAGGTGGGAGATGAAGATCTTGGTGATACGACCTGAGAGAAGAGAGAACATGTTATAAGGAAGGAATGTGGCAAGTGTGACGGTCAAAATCTGAATAAAGCTTATTTGAGGAAGATTTATTATCAGAGTGGAAATAAGAGCAAAATGTTGTAGTTGTCTCATAATCATCCAAATGACTTGATAATGAGAATGCTTCAACATCTATATCTAGACAAAAACCTACAATTTGTTTCCACTAATTTGACTTTAGACATCACTTTGTTTCAACGGTTTTAAAGTTGTAAACTTAAAAAAAAAAAAAAAAAAAACTAAAATTACACTACAACTAAAGTGGGGGAAGAGTCCAAATAAATCAGCCAAAGTAGCTAAAAATGTCAGTTTTGATAGTGGAAGTGTGTAGGTAGTTTCTAACATGCTAAATGTTGAACTTGCACCCTTCAGTAGTGCTGCAGTGACTCACCGGCTCGGAGCTGGCTCTTCATCAGCTGGGTCTGCGTCCCCTCCCCGCAGTCAAACAACCAGCACTCCCCGTCCGTCCGCAGAACCAGAGCCGAGGCACCGCGGTGAGGGGACGGGTAAGCCGAACCGGTGCCGAGAAATGTCATGTCCATGGACATCCTCACAAATTTACAGGAAACTGTCAGGAAAAACTTCACTTAAAGATGAGCTTTTTAAAAATCTGTCCCATGTTGATGACGTCAGATGAGCGACGGAGCCAAAGGATCACAAACACTAATGCGCATGTCTAATATTGTTAGGAAAGTTTTTTGTTCATAAGTATAGAATTTTTTTTAAAGGTGAATCTAAATTTATGTCATTGGGAAAATGACCTGAAATCTTTTTGTGAGTCTCTTAAGTTGGTTGAAAGTAAATCTGCCCAACAGCTTTATACTTTGAAATAAACCTCTACATTTGTTCCTTTTATCCGAGAAATGTCTGC